TTTATATACTGGTGATTTGGTTTTCTTCTTTTTTTAATCAAATTAACCAATGTTTTGTCTATTTTATTGTTGTTGTTGTTGTTGTTGTTTTTTAAACCAACTCCTAGTACAATGGGTTTTTACTTTCAACTTTATTAATCTCTCTTTTGATTTTCAGGATTTCTATTTTGGTGCTTATTAGGAATTTAAAATTTGTTCTTTTTCTAGTTTTTTAAATTGCAGACCCTATACTTCCAAACCATGCAAAATAGAGTGACCTAGTCTTTTAAGAAGGGCTAGCACATGGATTTGTCTAAATGTAGCTATTAGGAAGGGAGAGGGATGGATAGATACCTCTAGAATCTTGCCCATCTGCTCCAACATAGACTTCGAATCCTCACTGAAGGGCATTACAGGGCCATCTCCAGTCTTCCTGATCTATATCTTACTACTGGACCCAGATGGCTGCAAAGGAGAAAGTGAGGCTGATGACTGCACAGCCCTCCCTCACTTAAATATATTTCACTTTCAAAGTTATGACTGTGATGTCATGGTTCTCTTCCAGAACGAAGGACAAACAACAACAATGAAGGGCATTAACAGACTGGGACCATGAGACTGGCCCACTCTACCCTCCTCAGAGGTGGAATATCAGGCTAGAACGATATCTTTTTGCCTCCCTAAATGTTACTTAGTCTAGGGGAAATGATTTTTAGACTCAAGCCACTATCCTAGTCACTACCCTTACTAAGGAAGGAGTGCCCCAAGCTGTCTCTAAGGGATTAACTCCCTTCCCATCAAATGCTTTACACCAAAGACCATCATGAAGAGTAAATAACAAATAGACACATTTATCTAAGGAGATAGGAAAGAGAAACCAGAGAAGTGATACAAATTAGACTGTTAAGTACTTTTACATATATGACCTGCAATAATGCACCTTATATTAGATTCCAGCCTTTATTACGTAACTAGCTACTCCTACTTGGAGCTGCCCTACATTTGTAATTACTTATGCTTATCCAATGTACATCTCCCACACCACCCCCTTCAGGAAGCAATCAATTAATTAAGTGCTGTTGGATCAATGATGCTAACTGCTGGGGACTAAAAGACAAAAGTGAAAGTGCTTCTACTCTGAAGGAGCTGCCTGGGGAGACCATAGATATAGATATATAGATATATATATTTAGAGAGGGATATACAAGAGAAATGCACAGGAGTTTTGGCAAGGAAAGTCATCAGCAGTTGGGGGAAGGGATAAGGAAAGATGTAACATAGAATGTGGCTGAGTCAATGAACTAGGAATTGATTCTGAAGTGGAGTGAAGAAGGGAGTACGTTCTAGGCATGGGGGAAGGAGAAGATGGGACAACCAGTACAAAGAGACAGAAATGTGAGATGCATTGTGAGGAACCTTAAGAAGGCCAGGATGGAGCAATTGGTGGCACAATGGATAGAGCATCAGCCCTGGAGTCAGGAGGACCTGAGTTCAAATGTAGCCTCAGACACTTCCGAGCTGTGTGACTGGGAACAAGTCACTTAACCCCATTTGCCTCAGTTTCCTCATCTGTAAAGTGAGCTGGAGAAGGAAATGGCAAACTGCTCTGGTATCTTTGCCAAGACAATCCTAAATGGGGTCACTAAGGGACACTAAAGACTGAAACGACTCAACAACAACGATGACAAGAATATAATGAGACTAAAAAAGTAGGTTGGGGCTACGTTGCAAAAGGCTTTAAAAGCCTAATAGAGTTTATAGTAGATCCTAAAAGTCATAATTATTGGAGTTTGATTAGGGAAGCAGCATGGTCAGACCCACCCTTTAGGAAAATCACTTTGGCATCTTTGTAAAGGATGGATTGGAGTTGGGAGAGGCTTGAAGCAGAAAGACCAATTAGGACACCATTTCAGTAGTCCAGTGAGAGGTGACAAGGGCCTGAACTAGGCCAGTGGCTGTATGAGTGGAGAGAAGGGTAAAATGGATAGAGCGTTGGCTCTGGAGTCAGAGAAACACCAGTTCAAACCCAACCTCAGACACTTACTAGTTGTGTGATTCTAAGCAAGTCTCTTCACTTTTGTCTGCCTCAGTTTCCTTGTCTGGTTTTTGGGGTTTTTTTTGTTCAGTCTTTTCATTTGTGTCTAATTCTTACGAACCCCATTTGGGGTTTTCTTGGCAAAGATACTGGAGTGGTTTGCCATTTTCTTCTCAGATGAGGAAACTGAGGCAAACCAAGTTAAGTAATTTGCCTAGGGTCACTCCACTAGTAAATATTTGAGGCCCAATTTGAACGCAGGAAGATGTAAAATAGAGATTACACAACACTTAGCTTCCAGGGTTGTAAAGCGCTTTTTAAATCTAAAAATGTTATATAAGTGCTATTATTAATATTATTATTAAGAAGACAGATTTGAGAGATGTTGTAGAGGTAGAAAGGACAAGATTTAGCAACTGATTGGATATGTGAAGTGAGGGACGGTAAAGAGTCAAGGATGATCCCCAGGCTGCAAAACTGGGTGCCCGGAAACTCACCCAGAATGTGAGCTCCTTGAGGGCAGAGATTGTCTTTGTATCTCAGCACCTGGAAGAATGCCCTGCACATAGTAGGTTCTTGTTGAACTGAAATTTGAGGAAGCAGCTTGATGACTGGCCAAGAGAATAAGTTTCATTTTGTACAAATTAAGTCCCAGATCCCTTTAGGCAGCCAGAAAGTTCTCTTGCAGGGCATTTGCCTAAGTGGTTGTTAGGAGCTTTCATTTGATGCTGTGGCAGGTTTCAATGATCACCTTTATGCAAAGCCTCTGATTAACTGAAATTGAAAATCAATCAAAAGACAACGGAGAGGTGCTGGGAGGGCTTGAGCAATCAGTCAGTATTTATTATGGTTATTACGCGCCAAGCACTGTGCACTGGGCTGGGGATACAAAGAAAGGCTTAAACACTCTTCCTGCTCTCAAGGCACTTCCCTCCACCATCCACAGCCCCCTTTCAGTTTCTTTTAATGAGTTGTCCTCCCCCATTGGATTGTAAGCTCCTTGAGGGCACGGATTGTCATACCTTTCTTTTTATCATCGAAGAAATGTGTGATCCAGAAAGATGGGTGGGTCACGTGGACGCTGACTGGTGGAGAACCTATGTACTTCATTGGATTCGTCACAGCACTAAGATAACTCAATGCCAGTCACGCAGTATGGGTGTGTCCAGCCGAATCCTCGGAGAGTATCCGTAATTATTGGAGTACAAAGAAACATTTCCAACTGGGTGACTGGGAATATTATAGGATCATAGATTCGGAGCTGCTCGAGAGTGTGGGAGGAGGCTATTGGGAGAACAGTACGCAGAATGTGGCGGGGTCGACACGCAAGTGAGATACTGCCCCTTTGGTATGTGGACTCTGGTTGCAAAGAAGAATTGCGTGGGGCTGGTGAGCAGACCCTGAATGGAAGGGGGTGGGGCGGGATGACCCTGGGCGCCTCGTCCACCTCCTCACCCCAGAAGTAGCTGGGGGCCACGTCTCTGCATTTTCCGTCCTCCCAGAGAAGGAAGATTGGTCTTAATCGCGAGTCTATGGCAAAGCAGAAACGCCCTCTCCCTTCACTAGGGCAGCAGGGTGAGCACTGAGATCAGAGAAAGGGGAACCGCATCAGAAGTGCTAAAGGAATAGAGATTCAGCAGCAGCACCTACCTACCTGCCGAGCCCAGGCCCGCTCCCATATGCCACCCAGCGGCTTCCAGAAAAACTGCAGGTAGCCAGGTGGGTAAGTGGCAGGCGGTCATTAGAGGCTTCGCCCCGCTGCCACTCGCACACTAGGGCACCCCAACCCAGCCTCACGCCACGCGCGGGAGCGTTTGAACTCTGGAACGCGTGCTCACTTCACCAAATTAATCTACCTTGAGTTGACTGAGATTGGGGCGAGGTGGGGAAGGGGAAAGGGGTGGGGTTGCCTCCGATGGAACAGTCCAAATGTGAGGGAGCGCTGAAGATAAGCTTAAAGTCAAGGAGGCCCTCCCCCAGGGTATCCGTTTTATCTACAAGAAAGGCAATGCTTCTCTGTATCCACCCACCCAAAAAAACCCTACCTTTCGGGCTGATTATACATGCCCCCCCCTCCAAAAAATAAAAATAAAAAGGTGTAACTTTGGCCACTAGAGTAAGGAAAAACTTCCCTTAACAAGTCATTTTTTTTTTAAGTTTCAAGAACACTACAGTTCAAATCCTGCCCCAGAGATGCACTAGCTGTGTGACTATGGGCAAATCACGTGGACTTCTCTGAGCTTCAGGGTGCACATCTACAAAATGGGCGTAATAATAGCATCCACTTCACAGAGTTGTGAGAATAACATGTGAAATCGTGTGTCAAGGTGTTTTGTAATCCTTAAAGGGCTGTGTAAATGACAGCTATTAGTACCTTGTAGGTTTCATCTGAGAATCAAATGAGAATAAAGTAAAGCTCTCCATAAAGTCAGTGACTGTGATTATTGTCTTTCACCCCACCCCAAATACTTTACGTCAAACCCAAAGTGAAAAAGTTTTGTTAAAAAAGAGACCAACTCTCTTTGGTCTGTAGAAATCAAGCCCATTCATTCCAGCCAGGAGACACTGGCCAGCTCCCATGGATTTTCCTTTACAAAGCTGTGAACTTTCCAGAAGTCCAAAGAAAAGGCACACAAGAACACTCTCTGGTCCAAGGGAATATCTGAGACAGCTCCATTAAAATGTTTTTTTGTGTGTATGTGTTTCTTTGTTCTTATAAAGGAAATGATGTTTAAATGATGTTAATAACTTTTAGTGAAAGTAAATTCTTACAATTTTCCAGTCATAGAGAATAGACACCAGATCCCATCAACATCCATTATCTGGTGAAAAGAAATGCATGGTACCCATTCTTCAACTTTGCTGCTCCAAGCTGAATACTTAGCATTATTTATTAATACAAAGTAGCATTATTCATGCAGTAAACATCATTGCTTAGATATGTGCTGTTCTCAAAGCAGGGAAGGAGGCAGTGCCAGCAGAGATCTCAGTTGTATGAAATGTCGTCAATTTTGAAAAATAAGATCATGGAAACCACCATGGCTGCCACCTGAAGAGGGAGAAGAGTGCAGCAATATCATCTTCAATGTTGGGTTTGATTTGTACTTGAAAATGAGCTTAGAAGTACATTGGTATATTCTTGGGAAATGTATCCTACACAATGAAGAGAGTCAACCTCTACCCTTTAGCAATTTTCTATATTCTCAATCCCTTTCACTCTGAGTTCAGACCCCTCAAGCCTGCTGAAACTGGCCTCCAAGGTGGGGCTGATAAGCTCTTAACTGTTGAGTCCAATGACCTTCTCAAGTCCTGGACATCTTGACACTTTTTGATACTATTGACCCCTCCTTCTTCCTAGACTTTCTTCTCCCTTGGCTTCCCTGACATTTCTCCTTCATCCTTGTTCTCTTTGTCCCTGTCTGCTCCTTTTCAGGCTTCTATGCTGGACCATTATCTATCTCCCTCCCACCCCCACCTTAGTTCATCAATTCTTCCAAGCTCTGCCCCTGGTAACTCTTCTCTCACTACACCTTCTCTTGAAGGGTTCATCAGCTCCCATGTATCCTCTTTAGGCATCTGTATGTCCAGCCTCAATCTCTCTCCTGAACTCCAGTCATATCTCATCTGGTTAGCTCCTCCTCGATTTCCCTCAAGCATTCCAAATTCAACATGGCTAAAATGAAACTCACTATGTTTTCCTAATCTTTCCCTTCCTTCAGACATCTCCATCTCTGATGAGCGTACCACCACCTTCCCAGTAATCTAGATTTGCAGTCCCCCCAACCCTTCCTTATCACCCTCAGCTGTTGCCCAATTCCATTGATGTTAATACCACAGCACTTCTCATATCTATCCCCTTTTCTCCAGTGTCTCCAGTCACGAAGACATCTTCATCAGGCCTTCTTCATTTCTCCCCTAAACTATTGTAGTACTTTCCTAATTGGTCTTCCTGTTTCTAGTCTCTCCCCTTCTCAAATATATCCTCTACACAGCTGCCATCCCGCCACGAGCTCCTCTTTTACTCCAGGCTCTGATGAAGAGGTGGCCCTTCTCGCCAAGGCCAAATCTCTATATGTACCTGAGCCCATCCCCTTCCGTCTTCTCCAGCAGATTGCCCCCACTATCATCCCCACTCTTTCTCTAATCCTCTTTGCCCTCTTGGTTCCTTCCCTGCTACCTACAAACACTCCTGCGTCTCTTTCATCCTTAAAAAAACTCACCAGATCCTCTTATTGCCTTTATCATCCTCTATTCCTTCCCCCACCCCTTCCCAGTCATACTCCTTAAAAATGCTGTCTACACTCAGTTCCTCCACTTCCTCTTCTCTCATTCTCTTTGGAAATCTGGCTTCCAACCTCATCAATTCAACTGAAACTGCTCTCTCCAAAGTTACTTGAGATCTCTTAATTTCCAGGTGTGATGGCGTTTCCTCAGTCTTCATCCTTGACCTCTGCAGAATTTGGCATGGTTGACCATCTTCTCCTCTTGGGTACCTTCTACTCTCGGATTTTCATGGCCTTGGTCCTTATTGGTTCTTCTCCTACCAGTCTGACTGCTCCATCTCAGTCTCCTTTGCAGGATTATCATCATGCTCCCTAACTCTGGGTCTACCCCCGAGTCTGTATCCTGGACCATCTTCTCTTTTTTTTCTCTCTAGATCTTCCATGTCTGTAATCTCATCAGTTCCTGTAATCATCCCATACCAATGATTCCCACCTCTCCACAACCATTTGTATTCTTTAAAAAGTTCTAGTCTCACATTGTCTATCAGATGTGTCCAACTAGACATCCCGTTTTTGTTGTTGTTGTTATTAAGTCATTTCAGTCAAGTTCAACTGTCTGTGACACATTTGAGGTTTTCTTGGTAGTTTTTTTTTTTTGCCATTTCCTTCTCCAGCTCATTTTACAGATTAGGAAACTGAGGCAAACAGGGTTAAGTGACTCACCCAGGGTCCCACAGCAAGGAAGTGTGTGAGGCCAGGTTTGAACTCTAGGTCCAGCACGCTATCCCATAGGTGTCTCAATCTCAACGTGTCCATAGTAGAACTCATTATCTTTCCTCCCCAGACCTCTCCTTCTTCCTGACCTCCCTATTTCTATTAAAGGCATCTTCTAGTCAGATAGGCTTAGAAACTCAATGGTGCTAATTGCACATGTATAACCTATCAGATTACATATCTTCTTGGGGAGGGGAAAGGCAAGGGAGGGAGGAAGAAAAATTTGGAACTCAAAATCTTATAAAAAATGAATGTTGAAAACTATCTTTACATGCAATTGGAAAAAATACTATTTACATAAAAAGACTCTCACTTAAAAAAAGAAATTGAATGTTGCCTTAGCTTTCTCACTCCTTCACCCTACCCCCAACCATTCGGTTGCCAAGTGCTATGGATTCCACCCCCACACATCTCTCCATTCATAGTCTCCATCATAGTTCATGCCCTCATCACCTTTCACCCATACCAGTTCCAAGAGTCTAGTCATTGGTCACCCCACCTACATTTTCTCTCCAAATTAATATTCTTGAAGTACTGGTTTAGCTGGTTTGAACCCTTCTCCTCCCCTTCAAAAAGTCCCAATAATTCCCTCTGTCTCTAAGATCAGGCATAAGCTTGACTGTCATTGAAAACCCTGAAGCAATAACAATGCTTGGAAAGTCTGACAGCAGCTGGCTTTTCTGGGCCTGTTACATAGGGCTCTTCTTCATGCTGGGTTCTGGTCACACTGCTCTTATTGCTGCTTTTCATACATGACATTCCATCTCCCATATCTATCCCCTTACACAGGCTGACCCCCTATGCCTGGAATACTCTTCCTACTCATCTTCCCAAAATCCCCAGCTTCCATCATGGGCCTGCTTAAGGGCCACTTGATGCCACTTAAGGTTTATCCCCAGTCCCTGCCAAAATTACTATCCATCTATCTATCCATCTCATATATATTATATGTATATATATATATATATATATATACATAGAGAGAGAGAGAGAGAGAGAATTTACTTATACATGTACATATTGATAATCTCTCAATAAAATGTAAGCTCCCCAAGGGCAGGAACTATTTGGTTCTTGTCTTTTCATCCCCAACATCTAGCGCAATATATACATAGCAGGGGCCTAAAAATGCTTGTTGAATGAGTGAATGAATGAATGGTCCTACACAGCTAGGAAAAGCCACCAGTATAGGCGCAGTTAATTTTAGAGAGGCTGATCACCAGCACATTGACTACCAGCTGATGAAGATTGTGGTTTCAGCAACTTCTGGCAAGGGCCGTGAACTCTGTTGGTGAAACTGGTAGCTCATGGGATCATAGACGTAGAAGTGTAAGGTACTTCAGAGGGAATCTAGTCCAACCCAGATAAGGAAACTGAGGCCCAGAGAGAAAAGCCCAGGATTGTATAGGTAGGAAATGGTAGAGATAGGATTCAAACCCAGGTCCTCTGACTTCAAATCCAGTGTGCTTTTCATTATACTATGTTGCCTCTTTTGGTTTTAAAAGTATGTAACTGAGTATCTTCTTGCTCCTTTAGCTTAGGCAGGATTTGGGCCCCTGATTGTTAGGGTATTTAAGCTCAGGGAGAGGCAATAGACTCTTCTAAATAAGGCAGCTAGGTGAATAGAGTGCCTGGCCTGGAATCAGGACTCATCTTTTGGACTCATCTTCCTGAGTCCAAATCTGACCTCAGACACTTACTAGCTATGTGACCCTAAACAAGTCACTTAACTCTGTTTGCCTCAGTTTCCTCATCTGTAAAATGAGCTGGAGAAGGAAATGGCAAACCACTCTCTTGCCGAGAAAACCCCAAATAGGGTCACACAAGAATTGGACACAACTGAAAGATGACTGAACAACAGAAAAGAATAGTTTGTCTTCCACGTTTTGATTTTTGGTAACATCCCACTTGATATGTCTTCTTTCTCCATCCCAGAGAAGTTACATGCCCTGATCTGAAGCCTTAACCTGTGCCCCAACTCCTATTCTTTCAGTATTACTGAAAAATTCATAATTACAAGATAAAAAGATTCTTTAGGTCTCCAAATTAAACACACCTCCAAAATTTCCTTTAGCAACCACAGGCAAAACTTTGCCAAATGTGAAAAGAAAACACATACCTCAAAGATTGAAATTCCCAACCCAACACCTCCAATCAACTTTCCATTCTTTTCCAGGGACTCCTTCAGTTTATGTAAGCATCCCTAAGAAAAAAAAATCAACATCTTCCCCTCCACCTCTAAGCAAATCATGTGACATTTGACTTTGCATTCTAGCAACACTTTAAATATGTTTTAAAATCTAAATTGTCTGATGTCAACAGAGCCTTAACTAGCAATTTTTCTATGAGGCTAATATGGAGCTTACACTTACACGAGCAGGAGTTAGATCTTCCAGAATATAAAATAATTTCTTACATTTTGATGTACAGCATGATGTTTGAATACCACACATTGAAAGAGATCAATACCTTCTTGCTGACCTTAAGCCAAATGGCTAGCCTAGGCCCTTTCAGGGCCACCCTTGAGTGACTCTTTTATATGAACCTAATTTTGACCCTGCATCTGCTTCAGATACCCTACTAGCTGATCTTGGTACACATCATTCTTTTGAACATCCCCTTCCCACTCTCCCACCTTGAACCAGGAAGCCTGGAGTCAGCTCACCCACCCAGACATGGCCATGATGATAAACAGCACAGTCCAGACCAGGAAGCAAAGTACAGCCTGGGAGGGCTAGGAGAGTTACCATACCATCTTTTCTTGAAAAACTAAATTATTTTGGGGCAGTTAGGTGGCACAGTAGATAGAGCACCAGCCCTGGAGTCAGGAGGACCTGAGTTCAAATCTGGCCTCAGACACATATCACTCACTAGCTGTATGACTCTGGGCAAGTCACTTAACCCCAATTGCCTCACCAAAAACAAAAAAAAATTGTTTTATCAGAAATTTAGTATTAAGCCTCTATACTTTACCTTCTTGTCTTTAGCAATGCCAGACTCCTGGCAAGGTGAATTTTCTTTGCAGCAAAAGACAGGATAGTAGCCGCCACTTTGATTCTGGTATGTAGAGCTGTTGAAATCAGTATAGTTGTGGAATCCACAGCAGTGCAGCTAAAACGAAAGAAAACTAATTCATGGATCCTGAACTTCTCAGATAGAGCTGAGCCTTACATACCTGGAGCAATATCTATTACTAAAATCCCCATCTGGATATATTATTAGTAGTAAGAGAGAAGGGAGCAAGCATTTATTCAGTGCCTACTTTATAAATATGATCTCATTTGGTCTATACAACCACCCTGGGAGGTAGGTACTATTGTTTCTCCCATTTTACAGTTGAAGAAACTGAGGCAGATAGCTGTTAAGTGAACCTGCTCAGGGTCACACTTACAGCTTATAAGAGTCTGAGGCTGCATTTGAACTCAGATCTTCCTGACTACAAACCCAGTTCTCTGTCTACTGTACCACCTAGCTGGCCAATAACCTTTCTCATTTGTATAAAGTTTAAACTTTTCCAAGTGTTTCCCATTTACCATCTGTTCTCTTATTTGCCCCTCACTATAATTCTGTGAGGTGGCCAAGGTCAGAATGATCATCCCCATTTTCTAGATCAGGAAACTGAGCCCAAGAGAAGATAAGTGGAATTACCATCATATGATACAGCCTGATAGAATTAGAGGAGGTTTGAGAGATCCTTAAGTCCAATCTTGTTTTATTGATCAGGAGATTAAGTCTCCACTGGGTGCAATGATTTGGCTCAGGTCACACAGGGGGTAAGTGGAAAGGCAGGGATTTGAACCCAGGTGCAGTGCCTTATCTTCTTCCACCACCACCCCTCTTCTTGACAAGATTGAAACAAATCAGCTGTATAATGTCAGCACTGACCCAGGAGGCCTGGAGTCCTTTCTCTCAGCATCAGTTAGGAAGGCATTCTACTGTTTAAGGGAAAGTCCCTCTATTCTTGGCCACCAGAGAGAATCTCTCCTGATGTCTTAGCTTACCTCCTTCATGGTGGTATTCCACATTACTGTGATTTCTTCTTCCTTGTCATAGGACCCTTGTAGTGTACTGACTGCCCAAGAATCAATGTTTGCGAAGAGCACATTTGCCTGGGATGAAGGTATATAACGTTCTGTGATTATATGCACAATGGCATATTGGCCATAAACTAACACATCTCAACCAGCACTCAGCACAGTGCTTGCAAACAGTAGGAACTTAATAAATGAGTTGAATTGAAACAACAGTGCATCCTTTGCAAGCCAAAGAGCTCAGTAATTCAGTTCTCAGTTCAATTCTACAGACACTTAATAAGCACTTTCTGTGTTAGGCTCTGGGGTCACAGAGACAAACACAAAATATTCCTAAGCCCTTGAGGAGCTTACATTCTACTGGTAAGAACTAAGATTTATACAAATAAGGAAATTAAAAATAAATACAGAGTAAGCATAAAATAATTTCAGAGGCAGGAAGAGCACTAATATTTAGGGCAGGGGTGGGGAACCTGAGCCCTCAAGGCCACATCTGGCCCTCTAGGTCCTCAAGTGCAGTAAGTAAGATCAGGGACTGAGAAATAGGTAAGTAACCATAAATGATAATTTAATCTAATGATGATTTTGTTAAATTTGTTAAATCAAATACAGATGATTTTGTTAAATCAAATGTCTGTCACCAGCCCTGCATTAGATAATAATAGTTAACATATATATATGTATATATATATATATGTATATATATATATATATATATCGCTTTAAGGTTTGCAAAAGGACTTTACAAAGGCTGTCACATTTTATCCTCACAATAACCCTGGGATGCAGGTACTATTATTATTCCCATTTTACAGATGAGGCAACTGAGGTTTCTGACATTATTATTCCACCAAAACTGATCTCTCCAAAGTTACTAATGATCTTTTAGTTGCCAAATCCAAAGGCCTTTTCTCTATCCTCACTCTCCTTGACCTCTCTGCAGCCTTGGACACTGTTGATCACTCTCTCCTCCTTAATAATCTCTTTTCTAGGTTTTTGGGACACCATCCCTTCCTGGTTCTTTTCCTACCTCTATGACCGCTTCTACTCTCTAACCTTGGCTGGATCCTCATCCAGATTGTATTCTTTAATTATAGGTGTCCCTAAGGGCTCTTCCCTAGGCCCTCTTCTCTTCTCCCTCTATATAACTTCACTTAGTGATCTCGTCAGTTCCCATGTATTTAATTACTATTTCTATGCTGATGACTCCCAAATCTGCCTCTCCTGCCCCAATGTCTCTGCTGAGCTCCAATGTTGCATCTCCAGTTGCCATTCAGACATCTCTAACCGGATATCCAATAGGCATCTAAAACTCACTATGTCCAAAATGGAACTCACTATCTTTCCCCCTAAAACTTCCCACCCCCTACCTTCCCTATTAGTGTAGAGGGCAACACCATAATCTCAGTCCCTCAAGCTTACAACCTAGGAGTCATCCTGGATTCCGCATTCTCTCTCATGCCCTACATCCAATCTATTTCCATTTCCTGTCAATTTCACCTTTGCAACATCTCTCAAATACGCCCTCTCCTCTCCTCTGACTACTGACCTCTCTGGCTTCCTTAAAGTCCCATCTAAAATTCCACCTTCTTCAGGAAGCCTTCCCCAATCCTTAATTCCACTGCCTTCCTTCTATTAATTAATTATTTCCTATTTTTATTGTTTCCTGTATATAACTTGCTTTGTGTATATTTATTTGCATAAGTCTTTTGCCTCTCTTTGTATCCCCAGGGCTTAGCATAGTGCCTGGCACATTTTTGTTGTTCAGTCTCAGTTGTGTCTGATTCTCTGTGACCTTATTTGGCAAAGATACTGGAGTGGTTTGCCATTTCCTTCTCCAGCTCACTTTACAGATGAGGTAACTGAGACAAACAGGGTTAAGTGACTCTCCCGTAGTCACACAGCTAGTAGATGTCTGAGGCCAGATTTGAACTCAGGAAGATGACTCTTCCTGACTCCACCTAGCCTGGCACATAGTAGGCACTTAATAGATATTGATATGAAGTGACTTGCCCAGGGTCACACAGTTAGTAAACATCTGAGGCCAGATTTGAACTTGGGTCTTCCTGGCTCCAGATTCAGTACTCTGTCCACTGCACCATCTATCTGAATGCTATCAGAGATTCAGAAGTCCTCAATGAGCTCCCAGTGTGGCCAGGGACACTAGAATTCCACAGAGTCACATACTAGCAGAGCTAGAAGAGGCGTGAAAGATCATCTGGTCCACCTTCATACTGCACAAGATTGATACGAAACATTAAAGAGAACCTCGGGGAGGCTGAATGCCCTAGAAATCAGCCACATTATAGAGCTTAATGCTCATACTCTTTTCAGAAAAACCCCATGGAACCTTTTACTTCATAAGAGGTAACATCTAGTCCAGTCTCTCACCTAATACAGGAATACCCTCAGGACAGGGGCTCTTAACCATTTTTTGTGTCCTGAATCCCTCTGGCAGTCCATTGAAGCCTACAGACCCCCTCTTAGACGGACGTTTTTAAATGCATTAAACACGTAGAAAGGAAGCCAATTATATTGAAATACAGTTATCAAAAAAAAAATTTTAAGTTCCCAGACCCCAAATTAAGAACCCCTGCTCTATCTATAACTACTCTGTCATCAAGACAGGGGAGTTGAGCTGTTGGAATAGGAAGACAGCAGCTGCTACCCATTGTACTTACAAGGCAATTGTCCTGAATCTGCTATTTGGAGGTTTCTTATAGGCAGCATATAAAAAAGCAGGAAGAGCCTGGGCCTTTGAGCTGGTTTCCACTAAATAGTTCTTTATACTATAAAGCTGGTTATGTGGATAAGAGGGGGCCTAAGCGAGTTAAAAGTAAGCCCCTTTTATGACAGAGAAGTTTTCTTCCCAGCTCTGAGGGTGCTCTTTGATAGCTCTTTCTGTGTGTGTTTGAGCCTGGTTTCCTGGTATGTGGTGTGTGTGTGTGTGTGTGTGTGTGTGTGTGTGTGTATTCTATGCATTGGGCAGCATTGCTAGCTGACTAGATCTTGGGTACAAACAACACCAATGGGTTTGGATGACTATGACTCTGTCACAAAGTCAGAGACAACCATGTTCTTGACAACATTTTCTGACCCCTGCCTATTCTCTTAGATACATCTGCACTGGAGGCTGAGGGACCTCGATATGGTGCTTGAATCCCTCCAAAGCATCTGATGCTTATTGGACAGCTCCATTTTCACAAAGCTCTTCCTTCAATGGAGATGAAATCTGCTTTCTTATTTGTCCTAGTTCTGAACTCCAAAGCCATATAGAATATCACCTCCCTCTTCCAAAGATACACCTTCAATTTTTGAAGACAGCACTCATATCTCTGAAGCCATAGGATCACTGAATTTAAGAGATGGAAGAAAGATCTATGGGGCTGTCTTGTCCATGCCATATTTGGAAACAAATCACCCTTACAACACACCCCATTATAACATACTTTCCAACATATGGTCATCCAGGTTCTGCTTGCAGACCTCCAAGGAGGGGGAACCCACTACCAACTGAGGCTGCCCCTTCCACTTTTGTATGACTCTGATTGTTAGGAAATTTCCCCATATATCAAGCTTAAATTGCCTCTTGATAATTTCCATTTATTGCTCCTATTTCTGCCCTCTGGCACCAAACAGAATAAGTCCAGTCTCTCTTCAGAAAAAATAGACCTTTAGGAACTTGAAAATAGCTCTCATATCTCTTTTCCTGACCAAATATTACTTCATTTCCTTCAATTGACCTTCACAAGGCATGGCCTGGAGGTCCTTCACCATCCTAGTTGCCATCTTCTGAACATCTTACAGCTTATCAACGTCCCTCTTAAACTGTGGTGCCCAGATGAATGCACCAACTCAGAAGAGGTCTTACATAGCATGGCAGGATTTCTGCCTGCTTATTCCTGGAAGGATACACCTTTTCATGCAGCCCAAGATTGTGTTTGCTCTTCTGGCCACCATATCACAGCATTGGCTCATGTTAAGCTTCCAATTGACTCAACCCCCAGATATTTTTAAGATACACTGCTGTCCAATGCATTCTCAAACAGGAACATTAACCTGCACACATTAGACAGATCACTAAGCCTATGCATGGTGTATATGTAGCCTATAATTTTATCATTCTAACATCTAGACAAAACAGCATCTGATACATTCTTGGAGAATGTCCGTATGATACAACATTCTGGCACACCTTACTTACAAGAGGCCACCAACGTAAGTTCCAGCCTGGTTAGGACTACTGAAAACCTTGAAGTGCTTCCAAAGTTAATTCATTTCACATGGTGGCATAAACATGCTATGTTTGAACATCAGTGAGAGATCTCTTGGATTTACGCAGCAGTAAATATTTCAGAGAATAAAACCACCTTGATGGTGATTAGACTACTTACTTCTGAACAAAAACAGATCTAATCAGAAACCTGATATAATCCTAATGAACTCCACTGCTAGGATATTGGGAAATACCTGGATAAAATATTCTTTCTGTTCTCTACCCCACCTCCCACACCTCCTGACAACTAGATTATTCAGAATTATGGCAATCAGATACTGGCAAGGAAGAAAAATGGTGATATGCTGAATAGAAACCATTTAAATATTATATGTCTTGATAATGTAATATTTTCACAACTGTTTCTGTTTAAAACTCATAAAAAATATAAGACTTTGCCCCCCCAAAAAAAGATACACTGTTGTCTAACTGTACCTCCCCATCAGGTACTGATGAAGTATATTTATAAGACTTTATACTTATCTCCATTGAATTTCATCTTATTAGACTTGGCCCAGGCATCTACACCCAAGATCTTTTCAACTCCCAATTCTTCCATCCAGTGTACTAATTATCTCTTTTGCTCTACGTTATCTGCAAATGTGATGACCATATCACCTATGATTTTAACCAAGTCATTGATAAAGATATTAAACAGTGCAGGGTCAAGCATAAATCCTAGGGGTACTCCACATTCTTAGGGAATGTCCCTAGTTCCTTCACTTGTCCTCCATGTAACATGGTATCCAGATCCTTCACCATTTTAGGAATTCCTTGTGCCTCTGAAGCACCTTGCTTAAGA